AGTATCTTTTCTTTTTTTTGTTCTTTCTTTCTGTCAGCACCTTTTACCATGTCCAGAGCCCCTAATGTCCTGCTGTTTCTTGTTGTAGTACCTTGTCTCTACATTCTTCATCATTGCTCCGTTTTATGCTTGGTTTAAGAATTCTATTTTGTCATCCTATCTCCTCTTAGAAAGCTTGCCTATGGTCAGGAGATGTAGATGTACATTCAGATAGCGACATGTAGACAAAGACACAGGGGCAGACATACACAATTAGATGCTTGATTGACTGATTCTTTTTACTGGAAGGCCATAGGCATGTGGTTAATACAAGATTTTTCCTTTGTGATAGGGTACAGAAAGGGAAATTTGCCCTTTTCTCTTGAGTCTGTTTATTTTGATGTCTCTACAAGTCAGACTTAGCCAGATGCATAGAACTGACCAAATTCTATTTTAAACACTCTAAGGAGTAATTTGCTAATACTTTCGCTTCTCAGAGACTGGTACTGACACTAACATTTTATCGCTAGTATTTTTGCAAGTTGAACATTACATAAACTTTGGCTTTGCTTAAGATTGTTTTGATCTTCTTTGGCATGATATCTCAAGACTCTCTAAGCTTAATTTGCTCTCAGACTAAAAGGCTCAAGCAGTAAGACTTCAATTTTTGGTTATAGACTTGGACCACATCAGTAGCTTTCTTTGTTCTCTATTCACCCTTTTCTACACCCTCACATCTTTTAAAACAGGGATTAGATAAGAAAATATTTTTGTTTCGTCTCTGTAACTTCTATGGTACAGAATATAATAGGTTGTACCCTAGCTGTAGGGTTGTCAGTTGGCTGAAATTCAGTTTTTAGGGAAGGTCCTTAATCTCTTCAAACTCAAAGAATCTAACTGGTCATTTTCTTGTTTTCCTAGTCAAGGTGCCTGATGCCATGAAAGTACCCAATGATTTGCTGATGACTTCTCATATCCACCTTTGAGATAGCAATCTGTTTTCTGCTCTCTGCTTTTCCATAGGACAAGCTTGAATATCCAACCTTGGCTGATAAGGAGGCATTCTAGGCAACAGATGGGTTTTTGGAATGGTCACTTCCAGTAAGATTTTCATGATGGAAATTTTTCATTGTGTACGCATAGACTAAAGATCTCAGGGTAACTAAAAACATTGGCCTTCTCCTTCAGTTTACCCAATAAATAAGACTGACTATAAACTCAAGTCACAGACTAAGAATGAGAATAATATTTCAGAATTAGGTTGTTTAAATTTTGTACATCTAAGTAACTATATCTGGATATTTTGAAATGTATTTATTTTTTCTGAAGATTCAATTTGTTGACTTTGTTCTGAACTTGCCAGAGAAAGGACAACTCTTATTTCAAGTTATTCAAGTTCAGTGAATGTACATTGCTTTCATACTCTGTGAAATGAGAGAAAGAGATTGTGGTTCGAAGTTTCTTACTTTGTAGTTAGCTATTTTAAGATTTTTTTCTATATTGTAAATACAAATATTTTAAGGAATTTAGAAAGGTAAATATTTTATTGTTTTGGTAAATTTGTGGGTAGAGAGTGGAAAATCTCCTACAGTGATTGCATATCACTTTAAATTTAGCTCAATGATTTCTTCCCTTTATTTCCTAGGACCTGTCCTATCTGATCAGTTAGTCTATTAGACATTTCTCCAGACACTTTGCAAAGTGTGATCTAACAGTGGTACACTATTTACTTCTAATGATTCTAATTAAGCTTGTGAAAAAGCCAAGATTGAAAATTAGGAAACTTGTCTTAAAATCTCATTTTGGAGAAACCACTTAATTTATCTCAATGTTTGTTTCTTTATCTATAAATTAAGGGGCCTGCATATAAATGTCATAAGCCACATTCTTTTTCTCAAAGTATGGATGGTGAAAGCTGCATTGGGGATGTGATGTATGTCTTACTATCTGCATTTAAAAGAAAGAGACAGAATGATTTTGTGTACCAGAGAAACCTCAGCCTCGAGTCCCTGAAACAATAGTTCTGAAACTTCAGTCTACCCCAGAATCTATTCTCTGGGGGAACTTATTAAAAATTACGCACTCCTGGGACTCACTACAGAGATTTTTGATTCAGAAAGTCTGGTGTGAGGTTTAGTAATCTGCCTATTCAGCAAGTGCGCCGACGGGTCTGATACAGTGGATCCCGGGACCACCCTTTAGGAACCACTGCCTTGAAAGCTATGTGGCTGTGGGTGGTACAGTACAAGCACTCACAAGCTGCCAGTTGGTAAGAGCTAATGTTTTCCGGCAAGTTTCCTGAAGCTCAGCAGATTTTAAGCTTAGTTAATAATTGACTGCATTTCAGCTGGAAGTGCTTTGGATGAAGTTTAGCTCTAGGCAGAGGATATGGCCTGAAGGGCTAGGTTGTAACCTCCAGTTCTGGTTAATGGTGAGTGCTCTGGTGATTCCTTCTAGAAGCCTGGCTTGGTCACTTCTTAGTAGGTGATGTGAGGTAAGCCATCTTCCCTTGGAAGCCTCTGTTTCTTCTAAGATGGGGGTGCCATAATACATTTTTCATAGTCTTAATATGATGAATACATATGATAATGCATACAAGGTGGCTAGCAGAGTTTCTAGGATGTAGCAATGCTGAATTAATGTTAGTATCATTGTTGAAAGCAACAGGTGAGACACATTTGACTCAGCAATCAATTTTTAGTACAAGATGCCTTTACATTTTCAATTAATTCTTCAAGCATTTATTAACTATTTGTTTGCCATGATCTAAGCACACTGATGTGGTGGGGTTGGGTTACATGAAAAGAAGAGGTAAAACAAAGATGAGTAGTTTTCTCCGACCTCAACAGGATGTGCAGGCTAGTTGTGGCAGGCAGACATCAACTAAGATATGGGCATAGAAACTGTGGGAAGAGGAGGCAGGAATTCAGCACGGCTTAATCCTGGAAGCATCTTTCCTCACTTACAAACTAAGACTGATGAATCCTCTTAGGTCTGAATAGACCTTGGTCCAGGGTTACAAGGAGGGACTGCTGGAGAGCTTTCAGGAGTTTACCTACCAATTTCCAAATGACAATGCGTATCACCATCTGTTATGGTTTTCCCTGTCAAATAGTTAGATAGCCCACAACATATTTTTAAAATAAAATAAAATCGAGGAATGATTTTTCTCTTTTTATTTACTTAAGAATTATTAAGCAAAATTTTGAATGATCAATGAGAATGAAAAAGCCAAACAAATTCTTTATAAAAGGGGGTAGTATTATATGTTTTCCTAACCTGTATGAGCTAAGTGGATCTCTTTGAATTTGACTGTGCCATCTTACTGAGCCGACAGGTCTTCCTAATGAAGGACGCTTCCTTTGGCAGACTGCTCAATACCTTTGTAAAACATATAGGAATCATTACCTGGGTTAGAGACACAGACTACATAGATAATTTTTTCCTGAAAAAAATAACCTCCTCCCCATGTCTTTCAAAAGTCACTGATGAAGGGAAAAAATTAAAATAAGGTTAACTAGATCTGGGTTTTATGATGCCTACAAAAAATCTGCAACCCAGAGATAAAGACTTCAGCTTTCTTTTTGGGAAAATACACAGCACTGCCTAAAGAGTAGACACAATTACTTCAGTGAGAAACAGAGATCCTCAGAGGAAAAAGAGGGGAATCAGCACTATCGCTATTTCCTGTCCACTCTGCAGCTCCTGCCTGCTTCATTAGCAATGGGCAACATAGTACTTCTAATTAAGAAGTCATTTAAAATAATTTGCAAAGAGCAGGGACATGTCAAGTGTGGAAAGTTCCTCATAGAGGATCACTTCAGGGCTAATGATGATGAGACTGACAGCAGTTGGGGACCTCAGATTCTTATTCTGGCAGCTAGAAAGAGCACCTGATTAGCACCTGTGCTTCTGTTAAAAATAAAATAAGGGAACCAATTTGTGGTCCTGGGCCAGGTAATTTTTAGTGGCAAAAAGCCTTCATGTGCTCCAGGAATCCTACTATTCTAAATAAACGAATCAATAACAGGGGTAAATTCTATTAACAGGAAAATGAATACTTCAATGGAAATTGCAATGGTAAGTAGCTCAGAAAGCAAAGGAAGCTGCCAGATTCCCATACAGTCATTTAAACCAACAGCAGCAGACATTCTCTAAGACCAACTTGGATTTCTTTATTTTGGCTTGTGAGCTAATTTACCCTGGCACATATAATGTGCTGTCTTTCATGGATATATAAGGTGGCAGTGACTGGTTCCTCAGTGTATCCTCATCAATGAAAGGACTTGTGAGTTAGACGGACCGCTGTTCAAATTTTTAACTTGCCATTCACTAAATGAATAACACTGACTTTAAAAAAGGCTTATGTAAGCCTCTGCTTTCTCATCTGCATGATGGAAACATTAGTGTTTATTTCACAGAGCTCTTGTGAGTATTGGTTGTGATGTATGGTAGTTACTAAAAAAATGGGAACCATTATTATTCATATTTCAACACTGGAGATCCATTCACTCAAAAATGTTTTTGAGTGCTTATTATATTCTAAGCCCTGTATTGTTTCTGGGTGACTTTGTCATCAACAGTTGAGCTACACTACGTTGATTAATGGATACGTGTGAAAATGAAGATAGCTTTGTTAATTTTCAATATTTTGTCTAGGAAAATATTGATTTGTGAAACCAATGGAATTGATAATGCATGCAGAGCTTAAAACCTAGATGGCAGGTTGATAGGTGGAGCAAACCGCCACGGCATGTGTATACCTATTTAACAAACCTGCATGTTCAGCACATGTATCCCAGAACTTAAAAATAAAAAATAAGAAAACTTCCAAAATATGGCAGTTAACATGTTGCATTATCCCAAATGGTTCTTGAAAGTGTAAGAAATAACTTCCTTTCTCACACAATAAAGCTTTATTAACATTGAGCATATTCACCTGAATGTGCCATGGAAGCGCCCATGAGATTCTCCAAGATGAATTTTCTTTTTTTTTTTTTTTTAACAAATCTTACACAGCCTTACATTTCAATTTTTTTCTTTAAAAGGAGTGAGTTGTGTACAGGGGGGTTAAATGCTTTATAGACAAGAAAAAAAACTGCGCTAGAACCAACTTATTCATCATCATCATCTTCTTCTTCATCTTCATCTTCTTCATCTTCCTCCTCCTCCTCATCCTCTTCATCTTCCTCATCTTCCTCCTCTTCCTTCTTTTTCTTGCTTTTTTCAGCCTTGACAACTCCCTTTTTTGCTGCGTCAGGCTTTCCTTTAGCTCGATATGCAGCAATATCCTTTTCGTATTTTTCCTTCAGCTTCGCAGCCTTCTTTTCATAAGGCTGCTTGTCATCTGCAGCAGTGTTATTCCACATCTCTCCCAGTTTCTTCGCAACATCACCAATGGACAGGCCAGGATGTTCTCCTTTGATTTTTGGGCGATACTCAGAGCAGAACAGGAAGAAGGCCGAAGGAGGCCTCTTGGGTGCATTGGGATCCTTGAACTTCTTTTTTGTCTCCCCTTTGGGAGGGATATAGGTTTTCATTTCTCTTTCGTAACGGGCCTTGTCCGCCTTTGCCATATCTTCAAATTTTCCTTTCTCTTTAGCAGACATGGTCTTCCACCTCTCTGAGCACTTCTTAGAAAACTCTGAGAAGTTGACTGAAGCATCTGGGTGCTTCTTCTTATGCTCCTCCCGACAAGTTTGCACAAAAAATGCATATGATGACATTTTGCCTCTCGGCTTCTTAGGATCTCCTTTGCCCATGTTTAGTTATTTTTCCTCAGCGAGGCACAGAGTCGCCCAGTGCCCGTCCGGCTCTCACTTGCCCCGGCGCTGTCTCTATGGAGCTCAATGTCTCCAAGATGAATTTTCAAATTGAGTTAGTCATGATCCTCTAGTTGAAATAATATAGTCTTCTACTTGTTTTTGTTTTTTTTTTTTTTTTTTTTTTAAACAAAAAGCTTATTTGGATTTCTGTAATTTGTAATGTTTACTTTAAACTCAGACTCAAAACAGCCTACACCATCAGTGAAATTGTTATGGGAAGGGGCTCTACTCTGATTTTCATCTTAGTGGGAGGACTTCTGAAGCACGATGACCATGGACTAGATTAGAACATGAGGATTTTTATAACTTTTGACTCGTTATGACTTTTGTTAATTATTCTGGCCAGTTAGAAGACTTGGTTATATTCTGCTTTAATTTCCTCATTGATTATTGAGAGGGAGTGTCTTGTATATACTAGGATTCACAGTACCTATGTTTTGATCTTATATAGATAAGACTCAGCAGTGGCTTTCAAACTTTAATTGCATCAGAATCACATGGAGGGCTTAAGACACAGATTTCTGAGCCTAGCCTCCAGTTTCTGATTCACTACGTTGGGGTGAGGCTCAGGCATATGCATTTTGGATATGATTCCAGGTGATGCTGACGCTGCTGTTTTGAAGACTATACTATGAGAACCACTGGATAAGAGTAAGCTGGTCTAATTTTTGTCAGATGCCACAATGACACTATTAATAGCTAGTACTGGTATACTACTTGATAGCAAAATGCTTTTCCATACAGTTTCATTTTATCCTCACAGTACCCTGGGAGGTAGGCATTATTAGATCTGATTTATAGATGAGAACTGTGCTGTAACTGTTTCTGTTTTTTCTCTCCACTTTGAGGCCAGATTCCACATCATATTCAGTTCTGTATCCTCAACACATAACAAGGCATCTGGCAATAAACGTTTGTAGAATGAAGAGAAGGATTTGCCTTCGCTTATGGTGAAACTGGGCTTCTTGAAACTTGTTCTGGAGCTTTTTCTACTCTTGGGTATACAAATAAAAAAAAAAAATTGGCTCTTATATTTGAGAAAAGGCACAAGTACTTTTTCCATTTTATCCTGAAATTCTAGGTTTAAACATCTAGCTAGCCAAGGTGATTAAAATGTGTTTTAACTATATTGTTAGACACTAAAATACAACACATCAGTTGTATATTATACATTTGTTCTCTTCTCTCTCTCTCTCTCTTTTTTTTGAGACAAAATCTCACTGTGTTGCCCAGGCTGGAGTGCAGTGGCACAATCTCAGCTCACTGAAACTTCTGCCTCCTAGGTTCAAGCAATTCTCCTGCCTCAGCATCCCGAGTAGCTGGGATTACAGGTGCATGCCATCATGCTTGGCTAATTTTTGTGTTTTTAGTAGAGACGGGGTTTCACCATGTTGGCCAGGCTGGCCTCGGACTGCTGACTTCAGGTGATTTGCCCATCTGTCTCCCAAAGTGCTGGGATTACAGGTGTGAGCCACCGTGCTCGGTCCTTTTCTCTTTCATCATGACTGCTTTACCAAATGCAGGCAATCTTCACTTTGCCAATCTTCACTTTGATAGTTCAGGACAGTAAAATTGATTGTGCAAGATAAAATGGTAAGATGTGATATTAATAGTCAAAGAGAAAACTTACATGACAAAAACTTTCTTTTTGTCAGAACATTAAAGACTTACTGTTGGTTATAAATGTATGGGGAGATGAAAAAATAATAATACCAACATTCACTTAATGTGTTGTAATTTACAACATTAGAAGCATTGAGAAGTACAGTGTTTTACTTCTTTGTAAATAACTTTTTAATAGTTTGAATAGTGCTTGCCTTCTCCTTATTATAGAACTTACGATATGGAATGAGCATCTTTTCTATGCCTTGGAAAATTTTCATACTCCTTTCTAAGTTTGGATAAGCTTTTAACATTTTATCCTTTGCACTTTCAGTGTCAGTGTTGTTTTATCCTTTGTACTTTCAGTGTTGTTATTTTAACGTGTGCTTTTTTGCTGGCATCACCTCCCCTGGGACACTGTCACCCTTTTCATCCCAATCACTTACCTCATTTATGTTGATAAATTTGCCCTAGCATATCTAAGAGTCTCTTGAATGACTGCAGTGTCAACATTTCCATGGTCAGCTAGGTTTTTTTCTATATCTCTTTGGAATCTGGGTATAAACTTCACAGTGGTATCTTTGTCTGAGCTACAACTTCACCAGATAGCTTAACATTAATCAATTTAAGAAGATTTATGAAATAATGAAGGTAGCATTTACTGGCAGTAAAAAGTGCTGCTTAATTCTTCTTAATTATAGTTTTCTTTCAGGTTTCTCTCTTTCATAATTATAGTTTCCTTTCACCTCATCGTTTTGGCCTCAATGCTAGCCACACTGATTAGGATTTCTTTTTGATTGCAGTCTTCAATCCAAAATATAAGTAAATGCTCCATTTCAACAATAAGTGACTTTCTATTCATTGTGCAATTTAAACTAAAAAATGTTGGAGCAACTTGACTTCGTTTTTCTATTCACTGGACTTTTTCATTACGGGTCATACCATACCACATCATCTTTCAGGCCTAGGCTTGTCCTGTCTTCACCAACATTTTCAAATCTAGCATATAATTTTACTTCACTTTTTGTATTTTTGTTGCACTTTAATCTTTGTTATTCAGTTCTCTCTATTGATTATCAGGTTTTATAAAATGTCCTGTGGGTTTATCACTTGTAGACAAGGAGACAACATAACTACACGCTTTCCTGTCTGTGTGTGAAATGAATAACAGATGGTGCTCGATGAATAACTGACAGACTGTGAAAGAATTGGTATAGTCAGTCATCTATCACGATGTGCATTGGGTTTCATGTAGTGTTTGTGGACTGAAGAGTTAGCAGTGAAATTTGTACTTTATATAATTACTGTACTCACAGGTAATATGCTGTGTTTAAAATTTGAACCACGTTATTGGGATATTGGTATTATTGAGCCAAACCATAGTAAATAAGTTTCCTGCATATTAGAAATATGCAACGTGAGGACCACCTATAATGAGAAAAAAATTATCATCATGTCAGAATAAAAATATTTGCATAGTTTCAAAGCCATCCACTTTCAAAATAGTGTCCAAAAATATCTTCTAAGTTGTTTAAAGAAACAACTTTCTTTTGCCTCCAGATGGACTGATTAAATTAAGAAAACCAGGGATACATATTTCAATATGATTAAAATATATGTATATATATAGAAAGAGAGAGAGACATCCGTAAACTTTTTAAAAAAAAATTCAGTGCAACTTAAATCAACCTGTAGAGATGAAAGTTTAAAAGCTGGGTGAAATATGCGAGAACTATGTTAAGATTTCATTATTTAAGTTTTCTGCTAATCTTCTTACGATGTCTCTTCCTTCTGAGTATTTCAATGGTATAAATAAAAAGAACAAAGTTCTCAGCCAGACTAGGTGAGTTAGTTTCTCTAATGGAATTTAGGGAATTTGGCCTGGTCTAAAAGATCATTTTTCTAAGTTCCTGATTTTTTCCTTTTTTCTATGCTAAGATTTTATTCACTGTGCTATGCATTGCTGTGATGGAATAGTTGGAAAGTTTTTTAGGCATTTATTCATTCATTCACTGTCTAGAACAGTGCTTGGCACATAATTGGCATTCAATAAACATGTATTTTATTGAACTTCTACTGGGCTCTGGGAAAGCAAAGATAATATAGACACTGTCCTTGTGGGCACAGAATAGGGGTCTCTGTACCACAACCTTCTGCTGAATCTCCAGTATTGTCCAATGACAATATTAATAGAATTTGTAATTTATCCAGTGTGTGCAAAGTACCAGAAACTCAATTAGACCTTTGCTGAAATTATTGCTGTAGCTATTTGAAACCAAGGTTGAAGATGGAGGTTCCTCTTTCAAGGTGGCTTGCTTACATTTCTGTCAAGGTTTGCTGGCTGTTGGATAGTTCCTCTGCTTCTCTCCACTAGGCCTCTCTACGGGTTACTTGAGTATCTTTACAATATGGCTGGCTACCCCAGAGAGACTGATCCAAGAAGTCATGATAGAAGCTTCAATGCTCATTGTGCCTCATCTTGAAAGTCACACATTATCACTTCCTCAGTATTCTATGGATCATAAAAGGATAGCCGTGATTCCATGGAGAAGGGCACCTCACAAGGGTTTGAATACTAGGAGGTATTTTATTTACGAGACACAAATTATTTTCATATTATTTTGCAGATGAGCAAACTGAGGCATGGCTAGTGAGTGGCAGAGCTGAGATTTGTACAAAGGCATTCTGGTTCCAGAGTTTATGCTCTTTAGCATTATGTTATTGGATAAATATACTTTAATATTGACTATCATTATTAGATGCTGTTTCCATATGTTCTGGGTGTTTATGAACTCTTTATTCTGTTTCATTGGTCTATTTGTCATCCCTGTAACAGCAGTACCACATTGTTTTTATTACTATGGCTTTATATTAAGTTTTTCTGTCTAAAACAATTCCTCCACTTCATTCTTCTTCATGACATTCAGAGCTATTCTTCAATCTTTATACTTTTATGTACATTTTATAACAGTCTGTCATATTTCATGAAGAACTCTGTTTCAATTAGAATCATATAGAACCTAAAGATCAATTTGGGAAATCTGCTGTCTTCAAGATATTGTGTTTTTTGTTTTTTTCAACTAGTAGATTCTTGGATAAGGTATATATTTCCATTGACCTGCTCTATCTTTTTACAGATCTAGGTGATGTCTATTTGTCACTCAGGATATTACGAGGCTACTTTAGCATTTTTTTGGTGGCAGTTACTCAATATAGGAAGAAAAATTTTTTCACTTTAGTTCTTTGCTTATCCTCGTTTCACAACTTGGAAAGAAGTGCTGCTCCGTTTGTACTTTGGCACACAGTAGTCAGTAGTTCCTGGAAAATTTCTATCATTCTTGTTTTCTATTTGTTACAGCCCTTTACATCCTCCAAATACCCTGAGATGACCTCAACTTTCTGCTTATTGTGTCTACCAATCCCAGTG